CCATGCGTACGAGTAGAATCGACTGCACAGGAACACACGCATGCGCGCGGACTCCTCACTCATTAGAATATCAGGGCTCTAGGACATTAGATCGTCTCATCCAACTCCCACACAGGACAGAGAAACTGAGGCCCAGAAAAGGAAGGGACTTTCTCAAATCCCACAGTCTGATGGTGTGGACAGATCTCAGTCCCTTCCACAAGCACACACATGCACACGCACCCACATTGAGTTCCCTCCATAGCCTCGTCTTGTCAAGAGCCCAGGCGGGCCTCTCCATCCCAGGAAACCCCCAGGAAACTTCAACCAGGTCCGCCAGGAGCTCCTGAGCTTCCTCGCAATGAACCCCACGAGCTGGGGAGTGAAGACAGGGTGGGATGGACATTCTTAGAATGTCCTATCCTAAGGCACCATGTGACCCTGTCCCTGTCCCAGTGTGACTCTGGGCACATCCCAGGCACTGTGTGACCCTGGGCACATCCCTGTCCCAGTCTGGACCCTGAGTGCCTATCTGAAAACGAGGTAGAGAAAGTGACCTCTACAGTATTTTATTTCTGGCATTTGATGGCCATGCAATTTGCCTGTTCATCAAGTCAAGGAATATTTATTGAACATCTTTTCTGTGCCAGGGGTTAACAGAAACCGGGAGGACAAGATGTCTGCCTTCAACGGGCTTCCTCTCTCGCAGAGGAATCTCACATTAAACATGTAGGAATAGATTTCTGCCAAGTGAAGTAACTGAGGAAAGCTCCAATAGGAAAGACAGAGTCCCAAACAAGCCAGCCAGCAAGGGAACAGGCCATGCAGACAGAAGGAAGCCTAAACAGAAAAATGGGAGAGCTATTACTATATGCACAGAAATCAAATATAGTATCCTTGCAACAAGAACGGGGTACAGCATGTTTTAAAGAGAACATTCAGCAAATGAAGAGGAATCCTTGAAATTCAACATGTATACAGCAAACACTCTATGAGAAGGGTAGAATGGTAACAGAGAGGAGACCTCCTCGGAACGGGCGCAGGAAGGCACAGAGATTTGACAAAGGAGGGACCAGCAAGTCAGGGGTCCCTCTGGGAAGAACCACGTCTCGTTAACTGGGGTTCCAGAAAGAGAGAACAGACAAAATGGAGGTCAGGAAATCTTAAAGGAGTAAATCAAAAACCTTCCCAGAACTGGAGAACATGAATTTCCGATTTGAAAGGGTAGGCCCTCAGCGAGGCACAGCAGGGTGGATTATCCGCTCATGGCGAGAGAGCAGGTCCTACAGGCTTCCAGAAAGACATATCCCAGGTGGCAGGCACAGAATCGATGCCCCACCAGCTGTGGAGCCCCCCACACCAGCCCTGGAAGCAACAGCAAAGTGACGACTTCAAAGGGAGGGCCCCCATTGACATTGTGGGGAAGAGATCTCCCTCTGGAGTTCTACACCCAGCCCGACTGTCACTGGTGGGAGGGGGCATCAGAGTCTTCAGACAGCCCGTCTCCCAACACCCCTCCCACACACCTTCTCTGGAAGGTGTTGGAGGGCGGGTTCTGCCAAAGGAAAAGTGTAAACTAAGAAGGGGAAGACGTGGGACCCAGGAAGCAAGAGGTCCCAGTCCCGATGCTGAGGCACGGACCCCTGAGCAATGGAGGTGGGCCCTCCCCTGTGCCCGCGGCATAGCCACCGTCCAAATAAACTGAATGGGAGCAGGTCAGAAGGCTCAGGGAGAGGTTCTCCAAGATAAAGCTGATAGAGTACTTTATGTGTTTACTTATGTTTAGTACTTCATATTTACCCAACTGGGGGAGAGTGGGCAATTGAACTAGTGATAAGCATGAAAAACAAAAAACCAAGCCCCCTCCCCCACACCCAGATAAAGACAATTAACTCCAAGGAAAACAAGAGTCATCAAGAAAGACAGTAAGAGCTCTGCAGAAAAACCAGGGAGGTCTATGAGGACAATTAATGGGGGTCTCAGCAGCTTTAGTGGTCTCAGAAGGGGCTGCTCCAATGAGATGATGTTTAATGGAAGCCTGAAATGCCAAAAGGTTCCAACCACAGCAGGAGGGTCTGAGGGCGAGGAGGATCTTCGCACTCTGGGCCGGATGGAGACCGTGAGCTCCTTAGAGCCCCTCGGAGGTGGCACGGCCCTTGTGTGAGTGAGGTGGTGTAGGGGCTATACAAAAGCACAGTGAAGCCCCTCCACCAGGAAACCCTCCGTGACTGACACTGAGGTTGCAGATTCTCCCCTCTGGTATATTGAACTCTGGATGTGTGTGCGTCCAGCCTCTAGTGGATCCCCCCAAATTCTCCAGCACAATAACAATGATGCCAGACAAGGCTTTGCCTGCAGTGGGACGGAACTCAGACTTCGAGAATATTCTCTGAGTTGGGTATCAGACTGGGGTGTTTTGCAGGGGGCACACTGCTTGCCAGGACTTCTGCAGTCTCACTTGGTGACAGGGGAATGGGGGTGTGATGAGCTTCGATGAGGGCTCCCCGGGGATGCTTTTGGCCAAAGACGATACTGTTTGTCTTGGCCCTGCCAGGAGGGTAAGTTGAGCAGAATTCAGCCAGGTGTACAGACGGGAGGAGAAGGAAGGTTGCGGGAGAGGGGCTGAAGGGTTATGAGCAGGCTTATGGTGTAGAGGGCAAAATTATGTAGTCTACAAAGTGCTTTTCGGGAACTCTCCCATCTTTTGGTTTCTCCTCTGGCTCTCTTGTTTTGGGCCCCTTTCTCCTCCCCATTCCCACTCCTCTGGGCCCTCCTGGGTGGGGAGAAAGATCAGATACCCTCACCCTGGAGGCATATGTCCCTTCCACACAGTTAGTGTAGGAACAGTGCAACCCAGAAAGACAGCGGTGGCCCCCCACCCCAGGACGTGCAACACCCTGGGATTGCAGGGTGGTGGGATTTCAAGCACTTTGGGAGGACACAGAGAGAATATTCTGGAAGGAGTGCGGCCCTCAACCTCACCCCTGCCTGTCAGGTGGGCAGTCCTGGGTAATGGAACTTTGTCTGTGAGCCTGGGTATCTCAGAATCCCAGCCAGAGAAACTGAAGCCTGACCCAGTCCTCTCCTGAGCTTCCTGCTATGGGGTTCAGAACCTTGTCACCCCTCTGCCTGCTTCCCTGACCCCTCCCCACCTGGCGCAGTGGGGAGCCGAGTCTGGTGCCTGGGTGCCTTGGGACCTCTCTGGACAACATGTGTTTAGAGCAGCCTGGCCTCAGAGCCAGCAGGCAGGCCTGACACAGACGAGGAAGATGTGTTTTCTTACAAAAACAGGACTAACATCTTGGTTTCTTACTGAGGTGTTGGAGCCTGGCGGGCTTTTCACACACTCTGGCCTTCTCAGCTTTTCATTGAAACACACCATCACCCCCACAAACACATGGACACAAAGACACACACTTCTACACACCAACACACACCCCCCCCCCACATACGCACACAGACTCAATCTACCCGGACGAACGCAGAGACAACACCCAGAGACATAGTCTCACGCCTACGCAAACACAACTCAAACATTCACAAACACACGAATTTACACACACGGTCTTACACCTACAACCACACAAACACACAAACTCATCCACACATCGAAACGTCACACAATGTGCATACGTGATCACTCATACAGCCCCAGCTAGGAGAAGTTTCCCCCCGCCCCCCCTTTTCTCGTTTGAAGTGCGGTTAAAAGTTTCCCACCTTCCATGGGATTCGATTTTTACTCTTCGCTCCATAAAAATCCTTCCAGCCCCATCTTCTGTTGGGTCCTGTACAGCTAGTGCTGTGTCTTTAAGGAAGTTGAAGCTGCTAAAAGTGAGTGAGAGAGAGGGAAAAAAAAGAAAAAAATTGGCATCTTTTCCCCCTCAAGTTTCTGGTGTCACTTATGAAACACGGGTCCTTGCTGCTGCAGAGAAGAAGTTGTTTTGCTAGAAGGAGGGAGTGTCCAGGCTGCCTTGGGCTCCCTTCCTGCAGCCTCCTCTCAGCGGGGCCCCAGGCACCCTGTCCGGGGAAGGGCGGGCACAGGCGAGCAACTTGACGGTGGGACAGGAACCAGGCTGCCCCTTCCTCCAGCCTCCTCATCCTCCCTCGGGCACCCTGGGCCCTGCAGCCTGTCCTGAGCTGACTCTGTCTTTTGTTGCTCTTTGGTTCCATCTTGGGAGAGGATCCACTTGGCTAAGAAAGAGTAGTTTGAAGGTAAGCCAGCGGGAAAGGGGGAGGCCTGCTGGGTACAGGGGCTGGACTGCCCGGTACTTTCCTGTCGGTTCGGGGTGCTGGGGACAATCCCTTGTTTGGATCTGGGCACGGGGCATCTGCCCCGCCAGCAACCGTATCCCCGGAAATCCCAACAGCATTTGGGCTGAGCCACTGGCCTCGCCCAAGCCAGCTGAGAGGTCCTGGCGGGGCTTTATTTAGGCAGCTGCCTGGCGCAGTTTGAACCGAACAGGCCACGGGTGTGATTCTGTAGAAAGGGTTTGGTGTCTGCCGTGGTCATAGCCCGTAGGAGCAGGAGGGGGGCAGATGGGGTGGATGGGGGTGGTGTGCACTGCACAAGGGGCCCTGTCTGGGCCGGGGCAAAGCATACCTATGGGGGGCTCCAGTGGGAGGGACTGTGGCCAGGATGTGGGAGGGCAGAAGGGAGGTTCTGCGGAGTGCTGGGGGAGGGGGTGGCTGAAAACGGATTTCAAGTCATAAAGTCAGCTCGGAGCTGGCCGAGGCAGGGAGCGCTCTCTGCTCAGAGGAGGCACTGGGGTCCTCTTCCGTCTGGTCTTCGCCTCTTCTGGCTGCATGACCTCGGGCAAGTCCCGGCCCTTCTTTGGGCCTCGGTTTCCCCTTCTGTAGAATGGGCTGCGGGCTAAGGTGGTGCTGGGTCTTAGCTGGATTCTGTGGGGCAGGACCTTCTGATGGGGAAGAGCCCCGTCTGGCTGGAGTCCTGAGAGGGACGAGTGCCTTGCGTGGGTCCTTAGGGTCACCTTGGCGGCATGCCCTTCTCTGCAGGAGGTGGGATGCAGGAGCTACGTCTGCTGTGCTGGGCGGTCCTCCTGGGCCTGGCGCAGGCCTGTCCTGAGCCCTGCGACTGCGGGGAGAAGTACGGCTTCCAGATCGCCGACTGCGCCTACCGTGACCTGGAGGCCGTGCCACCCGGCTTCCCCGCCAACGTGACCACGCTGAGCCTGTCAGCCAACCGGCTGCCGAGCTTGCCAGAGGGGGCCTTCAGGGAGGTGCCCCTGCTGCAGTCACTGTGGCTGGCGCACAACGAGATTCGTGTGGTGGCCGCCGGCGCCCTGGCCCCGCTGGGCCATCTCAAGAGCCTGGACCTCAGCCACAACCTCATCTCTGACTTTGCCTGGAGCGACCTGCACAACCTCAGTGCCCTCCAGTTGCTCAAGATGGACAGCAACGAGCTGACCTTCATCCCCCGGGACGCCTTCCGCAGCCTCCGCGCCCTGCGCTCGCTGCAGCTCAACCACAACCGCCTGCAGACGCTGGCTGAGGGCACTTTCGCGCCGCTCACCGTGCTGTCCCACCTGCAGATCAACGATAACCCCTTCGACTGCACCTGCAGCATCGTGTGGTTCAAGACGTGGGCCCTGACCACGGCCGTGTCCATCCCGGAGCAGGACAACATCACCTGCGCGTCGCCCCATGTGCTCAAGGGCACACCGCTGAGCCGCCTGCTGCCGCTGCCCTGCTCGGCGCCCTCCGTGCAGCTCACCTACCAGCCCAGCCAGGACGGCGCCGAGCTGCGGCCTGGCTTCGTGCTGGCCCTCCACTGCGACGTGGATGGGCAACCGGCGCCCCAGCTTCACTGGCACATCCAGACGCCGGGCGGCACCGTGGAGATCGCCAGCCCCAACGTGGCTGCTGACGGGCAGGCCCTGCCCGGCGCCCCGGCGGCCAGCAGCCGGCTGCGCTTCCGGGCCTTTGCCAACGGCAGCCTGCTCATCCCCGACTTCGGCAAGCTGGAGGAGGGCACCTACAGCTGCCTGGCCACCAACGAGCTGGGCAGTGCGGAGAGCTCGGTGAACGTGGCGCTGGCCACACCTGGGGAGGGTGGCGAGGATGCGCTGGGGCGCAGGTTCCACGGCAAAGCGGCCGAGGGGAAGGGCTGCTACACGGTGGACAACGAGGTGCAGCCCTCGGGTCCGGAGGACAACGTTGTCATCATCTACCTCAGCCGCGCTGGGGGCCCCGAGGCTGCAGCAGCAGGAGAAGGGGGCCCTGGGCAGCAACCCCCCGGCCTGCTCCTGCTAGGCCAGAGCCTCCTCCTCACCTTCCTCACTTCCTTCTAGCCTGCTCCCACACCCCCACCCTGGGCCGCAATGCCAAGGCCTCCCTGACTGCCCCCCCTCCCCCGCCGACATCACAGATGTCCCTTGAAAGTGGCACAGGGGGCTGAGGGTGGCAACTCCCAAGCCTGCATGGGGGACTTCGCGTCTTCCTACCTCCCTTCTCATCTCTTCTGGAACACTCACCACCCCCAACTTCTAAACTTGCTCGAAGCTAGTGACTAGAACAGGACCTGATTCCATACTCACCGTCTACGGTGCTGATTGCTGCTAACCACCCTGCCCATGCTCCCCTTTCAGGGCGATGCCCTAACCAACTGGGCGAAGCCTCACCGATGGCATTCCAGGCACTGGGACCGACAAGCTGGCAAAGGCTGGGGGCACGGGGCTGGGGCTGGGGGCTCGGCAGGGAGGGACCCTGAAGCAGACAGGGCACAGGGGGGAGGAATAGGGTCTAGGGGCAGTGGTTGGCATGGCTCTGGGCTCTTGGTGACCTGCTTGAGCTCCTGCTGCCTCTTGGCATTCTCTGATGATCTGGGGGCTCGGGAATCAGCGCCCTCATCTCAGACAGGACTGGAGGATCCAGATGGCCTGCATCTTTTCCCGCCCTGGGCCCCTCCACCCTGGACAGCTGTCCTACCTTTTCTCCAAGTATGCATCTGTAGCCTGCCCCTCCAAAGAGGCTAGCCATCCCAGGGGCAGCCGAGAAATAAACAGCATTTCTGATGCTCGCTTTGTGTTTCTCCCTGGCGTTTTGTCTGAATCTAGGACCCCTCCTTACCAGCCCGGTTGGGATAGGATAGGGCGCTGGAGAGTCAGGACGCCCAGGCTGCCTGTGCACACGTGGCGGGGCCCGCGAGGCGCACAGACTGTGCAGCAGGCAGCACGAGAGGGGCGGGCCAGCGGGCCGGGGACTGGGCCTCGAGCTGAGCCGAACGGCCGATGTTCTCTCTCTTCAAACTAGCCCACAGGACAAATGGGGGTGCGGGCCTGATAACCATTACAGAGGCTTCCCTGGGGTCCTGGTGGCCCTGAGCAGGGCTTCCTGCCAGCAGTGGCCTGGGGAGGCCTCGTGGAGGGGGACGGGGAATGGGAGTCCCTGGCTTGTGGCCGCTCTTCCCGGTCCAGCTCCTGGAAGAGATGGGAGGAGATGGGGCACGGACAAGACAAGATGGAGAGGAAAGAGCAAGGAGGAGCTGGGGACACAGGGCAGTGGAGAGAGAAGGTGGAGAGAGAGAAGGACTCAGAGAATAAGAGAGCCCCTTCGAGGGGGAGGAGACGAAGAGTGCTTCCAGGAAGAGGAAACGGTGTTCCTGGAGGAAAGTCTGGCCCTGCCTTGGAGACTTTCCCACACAGCACGTGGATCACCGACTGACGTGGGGCGGGAGTGAGGTCCTGGCAGCATCTTGCGGGTCTCTTAGAGTGGGGAGCACATACATGGAGTCGGAACCTGGAGACTGATCCCCGTATCTGTGCCCAGTCCGAGATGTGTCTCCGTCCCCACCCCTTTCCAGACTGAAGGTTGCTGCCCACAGGGACAAGACACCGCCCCCACCCCCGGGAGAGGCTCTGCGGCCTCCCAAGCTCTGCACTCGAGACTGTTGAGCCCAGCAAAGTGGAGGCAGGGAGGCCAAGGAGCCTGGGGTTGCAGCTGTGAGCCTTGGAGGCTGGCCAGCTCCCCATCCCCCTCCTCCTGGTCCCCAGGCAGAACCTCCCCCAACCCCCTCAGCAACTCGTGGCTTCGGCTGAGCTGATGTCACCAGCAGCACATGTCAAGGGTGACTGCGCATCTGGTGGAAAGAGCAGGATGGACCCAAGTCCCCTGTGCCGCCTTGGGCAAATCACTGCCCACCTCCGGGCTTTGGTTTCCTCAGAAAACAAAGGACGGGAAGGATGCTTAAGTGTCCGATTGACTCTGATTATCTAAGGCTTGATATCTTAACCCAGCTCGGACCCCTGACTTCTCTGGCTCCATTCACAGCACAGCAGGCTTGTCTTCTGGAAGTGGGACCTGGGCCTAAGACCTGAGTGAGGGGCAGCTGGGGAACACTGTAATCTGAATGAACTAGCCACTTCCCTGCTCTAAAGTCCTCCGTGGCTCCCCCAGCCCTCAGGGTGAAGCCCGAGTTCCCCAGCCAGCCATGCATCACCCCTGTGCCTGATTCTCTGATGAGAATCACTGTTCCGTGCCTCTGCTGGGCCTGCTGATTAATTGTCCCCTTAACTGTCTGTGATGTGTTACCCTCTGCACCTTTACGTATGTCATTCCTTCGGTCTGGACGCGCTTCCCCTCTTTCTCCCTTGGCTAAGTCGGCTCAAGCACCACCTCCTCCAGAAAGCCTTCCTGGATGCCGTTCCCACTACTTCCCAATGTGGATGAGGTCCACTCCTCTGGCTCACACAGCCCTGGGCATCCGGTGTCCCAGCCTGATCACACTCTACTCTGTTTCCCTGTTAAGGGCAGAGACCCAGTTTGCCTTCTCATCCCTGTGACCCTGTCAGTCACCAACACGGGGCCAGGAAGACATTTTCCAGCGGACTGCAGTGGGATCAGGGCCTGCCCTCTTTGCTCTCCTCATGGGCAGCCTTAAAGGTGGGTGTGAGCTCCCTGGCCCTACCCCTTGCTTCCTGTGTATCTGAGGCTGTGGTGGGGGCGCAGGTATGGGGGCAAGGAGAGAGGTTGATCTCCACGATTTGTGTAGACGTTTCTCAAGGCCCCACTGACCCAGATCTGTGGAGTGGCCACGTTTTCCCCACCCTCTGTAGCCCCCAGGCCCACAGTGGAGCCCACACGCTGAGTCACACATCCACCGCCTCCACCAGTCCCAAGCAAAGGAAGGAACCCCCCTCGCAACGCATGGGGTCCATTCTTTTTAGGACAGCTCCGCCCTGTGCCTCCCCACCGCCTCCACACCTTTATTCATAATGCTCCCCGTCTTCCTGAAATCTCCCCTCCCCAAGTCCTGCCCATTCTTGACGACCCAGAAAAAGTTCTACCTCGAAAGGCAATGTCCACATAGCTCAGGGGTGGCGCCATAGGGTCCCCAGTCCCTCTACCACCCAAAGGGATATGGCTATGGGTCCTCCTCTGTCCCACACCGCATGGCCAGCCCCACATGGGAGCAGAATACCCCACCCCACCCCAAGTCCCATAAATGCAGTGCTGATTTACTGGCAGTTTTCCCCCAAGTACCCCGCCCCGGAGGAGGACTGTTTCTCAGGGACAAGTTTATTACAGAGAGCACACTAACCTCTTTCATAATATCTAAAGGCATACCAACTGCAAAAATATCAGGCTCTCAAGTGTGGCCAGCTTGGTGTGGGGCCTGGTTGGAGCCATGACTTTGCTGCCCGGTAGGAGCCCATGGCTTCCTCCTGGGCGGCCTCACAGGAAGGCACGAGGCCCCAGAGAGGAGAGGGGGAAGCTGGAGGAGAGAGGAAGCTCTGTGTCTGGTTCCGTGGTGGTGCATCCAAGGCTGAGGTGGGGCTGAGCTGGAATGTGAGGCTGTTCTGGCCTGACTCACCGACCGCAGTCAGGAGAAGGTTGCATGAGCTCAGGCTGGTGGGCAGAGCCAGCCTGGGCAGGGGCCTGGAGGTGGCCGCCCCAGTTCCACTGCCTCCCAGACCATGGCCGAAACCACTGATTACTTCCTCCAGAGCCCTCGCGCGGGCTTCCCAAGACCAAGGGGGCAGACCAGAGCGCTTCGGAGGCTGCGGCTGCGGGACAGACCTCCACCCAACCACAGCGCCCCCTGGCTTCTGGTGCTGGCGGCTGATGCCGATCCCGGGAACTCGCGGGCCCAGAGGCTCCCGTGGCTGGGAGGATGCTGGGGAAGCTGGGAGGGAGGGGGCTGGGGGGGGGGAGCACCCCAGCACAGACAAGGACACGGTGGCTTCCCCACCCTCAGGGCTGGGCTCCGTTGACCTGGGCACCCGACAGGGTCCTCTTCCGGAAGGCCTGCAGGGCCGGATTGTGCAGCAGTGTGTAGGCCAGCCCCCAGCGGGTCCTGCCTTGGCGGGCCCTGGGCCCTGATCCCCTGGCCACGGGGTCCTTGGTCTGCAGCAGCTGAATCCCTGAGAGGGAGAGACTTTCTGTGAGTCACTCAGCAAACACCCAGCCACGCCCCCTGGCACCAGCCCCAAGCAGTCTGAAAATCCCACGCGTAGTGCTGGGGAGGCTGGGGGGCCTGGTGTTCCAGGGGCCTGCTCACTGAGCAGGAGGTGGGGAGAAGCGTGGGCTGCAGAGGGGTGTTTATAAGGGCTCAGGATGTCATCTTGCTGGTGGCAGACAGAAAAAGGAGGGGACAGCTCTATGGAAGGGACTGGAGGAAGGGCTGGGACAGCCAGCCCAGTGCCCCCCTCCCTACTACACACTTTCCAGGCAGGGAGGAAGCGGGGAGACATCTATTCTGTGTGTGAGAAGGGGGTGTGTGTGCATGCTTGTGGAATGGGGAGAGGGAGACAGGGTGTGTTTGTATCATGGGAAAAAATCACCCTGACAGGAACCGGGAAACTTCTTACTTCCTTTCTCCCACAGGCCTCAGAGGGAGAGAGGAAGTAAGCATTTTCCTGGCATTCGTACGTTGTACGTTGGACATGCATCCCATGTGGTGGGGAGGAGGGGTGCCTCGTCCCTTAGAGAAGGGGGTGGTCTCAATTCCCGCCATCCCCCGGGGGGAAGGTGCACCTTCTTCTTCCTCCCCCTGTCTGAGGCCATCCTGGGGGGCCTGGGGAGGCCGGGGCTGCTGGGTCTGCAGGAGCAGGACGCAGAAGGCAGTCGTGGCCGGATGTGACTGGCTGGCCTCCATCTTCAGGAAGCTGCAGTATGTGTGGTAGCCTGGGAGGGGTGGAGGACGACAGCGCTGGGGGGAGGAGGGCCCCCCTCCCACGCACCCTGCCCCCGAGCAGATGGCGCGTGCACCGCACGTGGGCCCACTGCCCACACCCACCCCACGGGGTCACAGACAGGCTCTGGGACAGTGCCACGTGGCCCAGGTCAGGAC